TAGCAACACCGTCACCAACTAATCATATCCTTCACCATTCGACCAGTCGAAAGGTCATTGCGTGTGCTGTGTTATCGCCGCTACGGTATTCTGCTTTAGAACATAAGATCATAATATAGGTGGCATGAAATCATAAAATAGATAAGGGACACTAGACACAATCAAACAACTGTCAAAGTCAAGGAAATGTGTGATATGTGTTACGTCCGGTACGTGTTTATCACCCAACTTGTAAACGTTTACGTCACGCTACCATACACCATTATGGCCCACGATGTTGATGTAGTAAAAAGAGACTAACGGGATATTCTCGCATATGCACTAAGTATACTCATGATTATTGGATTTGTCCAAACAATTAGAAATGCTGTCGGAACGTTACTAGGCTCAAGCAGTTACCGCAAAACAGAAAACTTAAGGTCCAAAACATCAGTATGATACTCGTATCAAATACATTTCCATCCAATATCCATTTCTTGTGTGTGTTCCCGTGTGCCATGTCTTCCCATGTACACGTGTTTTTCATGTGAGCGGTTGGCTTGCCTTTGCGTGTGTTTGTGACGCGGGTTGGCCGGGGTGCGCTCGCCTTTTCGCGAACACCTGGTGTCATCGCTGTTTAAAGGCTTCGCGCATATATGTGTTTTTTTCGCTTTTATTTGCTTATGTCATTTTTATCAAATATGAAACTTGGGAGTATATTTTCTTTGCCTGTCAGTATAGGTGTACGTCGGAATGATTAAGAAGGCCTGTTTCCTCCCTGTCAGCTGTTGTAACCAGTACCAGGATTTAACATCTATTAATTGAATCTTAAACGTTTACCACCTCGGTAAGATATAAAACGTCAACGGCAGAGAATAATCAGACTTGATTGTCCACCCAAACAGATTCCGTTGGGCGTAACACTCAAAATAGCGGTGAGAATTATATTAATGGATCACCGTTCGCGAAAAGTAAGCATGGCCTGCCCTACTGGTACAACCCGCCACATTTTCAAAAAATGTGTTTGTGCCTGACTCCACACAGAAGTGAGTGAGTGAGTGAGTGAGTGAGTGAGTGTGTATGGTTTAACGCCGCTTTTAGCAATATTCCAGCAATATCACGGCGGGGGACACCAGAAATGGGCTTCGCACATTGTATCTATGTCGGTAATCGAACCCGGGTCTTCGGCGTGACGAGCGAACGCTTTAACCACTAGGCTTCACGGTGCTTACCGATAAATGATTGTTATCTGGGTGACTCTACATGGATTGAATAGGTGAGTATAGTTTTACGCCGCTTTTAACAACACTCTAGCAATATCATTTCGGCGACACCAGAAATGGGCTTCACACATTTTCCTCATATGCTGAATCAAACCCGGGCTTTCGGTGTGAGTCGACAACTCTTTGACCACCGGGCTAGCCATTACTCGCTACTTTTGGAATTCAGAGGGGTGTTTGTACTCACTGCGAAAAGGAGATAAAATATTTTAACATAATGCCATTTCATATTGACAGTACTGATACCTCGGTTCCCATGACAACAGTCCAGATTATCGGCGTCCGGATTACAAAACCATGTTTCCACAGCAACGAGATCCAAGAGGTCCTTTATTTCTATAATCCCAACTTCAATCGTAAAACAAACTACAGAGCTGGATGAAAGGTTAATGTATGTTTCTATTGAATAGAATAAAAAAAACAACAACTCTGTTTCCATGAATAATTGTGAGATTCCATCAGTTTAAAGGCTTGCCCATCCTTGCATTAGGGCTGATCACGTGAAGCGATTGCACGCATCTTGGCTGTACAGGAAATGTTAAGAATTGCGGCGAACTCGTATTTTGTTCTCATATCGGTCGCAAGCGAATATTATCTTCGTCATTATTTCTGACGAGTAAAAAGTGTTCAAACCCCAGATGCTTTTTAATTTGACATTTATTTCCGATCATTTTATCCAATTTCATGAAAACCAAGTATAGCGTTTTTGCTATAATTGCTTGAGATCATCACGGAGACCATAGCCGCGAGAAATACTGAGGTAGCACATCGCGACAAGACATGACTGGAAAATGATACACTGACAGGTGAAAAACGACGAAAAACGGATGCCCATCACTGTCACATGCGTAATATGCATATGTAGACTGAACATGAATGAACGAATGGTTTATTTGTAGTACATATGCTTTTCCATACGGTCGCGAATCGTGTAGATAAAAAAGTTTCCGAAATGAGGATTACAAGCATATGTTTTAGCAACCCATGCTTGTCTTAAGAGGCGATTAACGGGATCGGGTGGTCAGGCAAGCTGACTTGGTTGATGCATGTCATCGTATCCCAAATGCGTAGATTGATGCTCATGATGTTAATCATTGGATTGTCTGGCCCAGACACGATTATTTACAGACCGCCGTCATGTAACTGGAATATTGCTGAGTGCGGCGTTAAACAACAAACTAACAAACAAATAAACAAATTACGTGTCTGACGTAGCAATGTCGGAAGTAACGAGGCGTCCGGAGTAACAGTGTCTGAATTAACCAAGTGTCGGGAATATTGGTGTCGGAAGTATCCGGAGAGATATCGATGGTCTCCCACGGGTAAACCATCAAGTGGTGAGCAGCTTCTGAGAAACGCGGGGGCACGGGTGGCCAAGTCGTCTAAGGCGCTGTGCAGAGTTGCGTCCCTTGGGCACGCCAGAAACCTATGATTGTGGGTTGTAGACGTTGTAAACGTCTGAAACCTGCATCACTTCGGGCTTTGCTCCCACATTAAGCTGACACGCCGCGATATGACTGGAATAATGTTAAAAGCGGCGTTAAACCCAACTCACTCACTCTGAGAAACGTAAACAGCCAGTGCCATAAACAACAAGGAAGTTTTACATGAACATCATATTCATAAGTAAAAGACATGACTGAGCGAGTGACTGAGTGAGTTGGCAGAGTTTTGCGCGACATACATATGTAGAAAATGGACGCAGAAACAAATATACTCCCGAGGGACGCACAAAAATAGTCCTTGTACCTACAGCGCAGGTATTTCAATATCCCGTGAGATAGAAGGATATGCACACTTTGTAAGGAAGGTTACGTCGAAGATGAGTACCATTTGTTATTGTTTGTGTCCGTTGTAAAACCCTGCGTGAGAAGTACCTACTATATTCATATCATACCCAACGCGTTACAAATAGGTGTTTTTGGCATCAAGGGATGGACACCCGGCTATGTCTATCGATTATGCAAGTTGCTTTAGAAAGATCCACGTTGACTGATTATTTCATTTGTTATATATATTATGTGTTGACTGACCACCTGTATGGACATCGGCCGGAGGCCTACATTCTTTAAAAAGAACATCGAATAAAGTGCATCAAGAGAAGTAACGGACGTCTGTTGTTTCATCCATCAATCATTACCACTGTCCACTTGATAACTGAATCAGTCCAGGCTCTAAAGTAATGATCTAAACGTACAGTAGATAAAACCATTTCATTACATTTCAGGACCTTCACATTGGTTGCAAGGACCCTTAAAATGTATTATTGGGGGTCCCCTGACGTCAAGGTAAAACCCTGAGTTTGGTTTAACGCCTCTTTGAACAGTATTCTTGTTATATCACGGTGTATCTGCTGAATGTGGGAGGAAAGCCAGTAACGGTGAACATCCAAGACGTTTACCACTTTGGTGTAGCCCACGTGCAGAGGTATGGTGCTGACAAACCTAGAAACAAACATAAACAGGGCGGACCGGGATTCAAACCGACAATCACAGGTTTCGGGCGTGCCAAAGGGACGCAACTCTGAACAGCAAATTGCGGCCCCTTAGACGACTAGGCCAACCGTGCCCCCAATTTCCTGATGAAGAATACGAGGAGGGTGCGAGTGAACACGGGAGGGAAATTTCTTGCGGTTAATGATTCAGAAGTTTTTGTTTTCACAGTTTCAGGAAAGCAATAATGACACCCTGGTCAGTGAATAAACTTTGAAACACATTGTCAAAATAATGGTATATGACATTTATAAGTACGATTGTGAGAAGAATATAAAAACTTTGATTACCTAAAAGAGAGGAAATAATAATCAGCTTTGACATTTGTTATTTACTGTATTTTAAAATAATGTAATAGATCTGTATCGAAATCGCACCAAACTCATAAAAAGATAATAATGGAATAATGTAAACAGCAGGTGAATTGCGGTCAACCACTTTCTAAAATAACGTTATCGAACAACCAGAATCAACGTGTTCATATTCAGAAAAATCACATATCACATATCGACACCCCTTTATATATACAGACATATACCCACACGCGCGTAGATAGGATACAATTTCAATATAATTTCCCGATAGAGCATGCTTCGGAATTGGTAGGGAAGTTTGGATGTGGGTATAGGGTTGTTGGAAGGTGGGTGTAGGGTTGTTGGTAGGTGGGTGTAGGGTTGTTGGTGGGTGGGTGTAGGGTTGTTGGTAGGTGGGTGTAGGGTTGTTGGTAGGTGGGTGTAGGGTTGTTGGTTGGTAGGTGTAGGGTTGTTGGTGGGAGGGTGTGGGGTTGTTGGTGGGTGGGTGTATGGTTGTTGGTGGGTTGGTGTAAGGTTGTTGGTGGGAGGGTGTAGGGTTGTTGGTAGGAGGGTGTAGGGTTGTTGGTAGGAGGGTGTAGGGTTGTTGGTGGGTGGGAGTATGGTTGTTGATGGGTTGCTGTAGGGTTGTTAGTAGGTGGGTGTAGGGTTGTTGGTGGGTGGGTGTAGGGTTGTTGGTGGGTTGCTGTAGGGTTGTTGGTGGGTGGGTGTAGGGTTGCTGGTAGGTGGGTGTAGAGTTGTTGGTGGGTGGGTGTAGGGTTGTTGGTAGGTGGGTGTAGGGTTGTTGGTTGGTGGGTGTAGGGTTGTTGGTGGGTGGGTGTAGGGTTGTTGGTGGGTGGGAGTATGGTTGTTGGTGGGTGGGTGTAGGGTTGTTGGTGGGTGGGTGTAGGGTTGCTGGTAGGTGGGTGTAGGGTTGTTGGTTGGTAGGTGTAGGGTTGTTAGTGGGGGAGGTTGTAGAGTTGTCGGTAGATGGGTGTAGGGTTGTTGGTAGGTGGGTGTAGGGTTGTTGGTGGGTGGTAGTAGGGTTGTTGGTAGGTGGGTGTAGGAATGTTGGTGGGAGGGTGTAGGGTTGTTAGTAGGTGGTCGTAGGGATGTTGGTAGGTGGGTGTGGGGTTGTTAGTAGGTGGTCGTAGGGATGTTGGTGGGTGGGTGTAAGGTTGTTGGTAGGAGGGTGTAGGGTTGTTGGTAGGAGGGTGTAGGGTTGTTGGTGGGTGGTAGTAGGGTTGTTGGTAGGTGGGTGTAGGAATGTTGGTGGGAGGGTGTAGGGTTTGTGGAAGGTGGGTGTAGGGTTGTTGGTGGGTGGGTATAGGGTTGTTTGTTGGTAGGTGGGTGTGGGGTTGTTGGTAGGTGGTCGTAGGGATGTTGGTAGGTGGGTGTGGGGTTGTTAGTAGGTGGTCGTAGGGATGTTGGTGGGTGGGTGTAAGGTTGTTGGTAGGAGGGTGTAGGGTTGTTGGTAGGAGGGTGTAGGGTTGTTGGTAGGAGGGTGTAGGGTTGTTGGTAGGTGGTCGTAGGGATGTTGGTAGGTGGATGTAGGGTTGTTTGTTGGTGGGTGGGTATAGGGTTATTGGTGGGTGTAGGGTTGTTGGTAGGAGGGTGTTGGGTTGTTGGTAGGTGGGTGTGGGGTTGTTGGTAGGTGGTCGTAGGGATGTTGGTTGGTGGGTGTAGGGTTGTTGGTAGGAGGGTGTAGGGATGTTGGTAGGTGGATGTAGGGTTGTTTGTTGGTTGGTGGGTGTAAGGTGTTGGTGGGTGTAGGGTTGTTGTGGGTGGGTGTAGGGTGTTTTGGTGAGGCGGTTGTTGGGCTTTTGGATAAGGTTATTGTTGGTGTTTCTGTTCATGACCCCATTAGGTATGACATATCGCAGTGAATCGATTTTTAATCAAAAGACTCATACAACTGTAATTCTTTAGAAGCCATCTCGGACATCTATAGCCTGCGAACCACTGTATGTATGTCCTTTGATACAAATGTTATTTGATATTAATTACTTTTTTATTTTCATCCTAAGGACACAATATGTCAAAGAAGACTACTTTCAAATTTAATTTTAAAAGAAGGAGCTATTTCCATTTATCACATGTGGATCGTGCACCTGCCCTAGTTACCATTGTGCCGTTCTACACATAATAAACCGATTTATGGGACTTTCTGCAGTAGAGTAAATGTACATTTATAGTAGGATGTTGCTACTGCATACAACAAATATAAACTAACTTTATAAAAATATTAATATAGTCTATCAGAAAAGGTTGCACTTAGTCACCTACCACACTATTGTGTAATGCATTTAAGGAAAACATTAAATCCTTATATCTTTCATGTGCTTTATCAATTACCATTAGTACATAACAGTATTGTAACAACAAAGGCTCGCTAACGCTTTGAGCTATTTTTGAAGCATATTCGTTGCAATGACAATACAATCAGCAAATGTTCAATTTATTTCTTTTTCTAATGTGTCAGTTCATGTTTGAAAAATAACTCCTGTGGCAACTTTATTTATGTCTGTAACAAATCAATGCGCACAATCCATTTCTCAGCGCATTGACTCCAACGAAGCAAATATATTTTGCTTCAAAATCATCAATCTGGCTATTGTGTTACTTATTTAAGAAGACAAATGGACATCGGGCATGGCACGTTTTAGGTGCAATCTCCCCATTGTAAACGAATAATACTTCCGGTTTGATACTTTTGTGACATGTTACGGTGAATTCAGGCACGACAAAGTCGATACTATCAGACAATGAATATATATAGAATACTAAACTCGCGCCCGTGTGATACCATTTTATGAAACAAGTGAATACATCTGGTGTCAGACAACCGAAAGCGAGTCAGATACTAGAACTATTCACGAGTTTCATGAAATTGGTATTACACGGGAGCGAGTTTAGTATTTTGTTTAGTACTTGCCGTTTATAACTTTATAAAAAAGATATTCACAGGATAATCCTATTGAGTCTAACAGAATCATACTTGAAACACGGTCTACCTGTATTATTCAGGGGTCCTTTCCACAACGCTATCGTTATTGTAACTTCCATACTCCAAGATAGACTTACGACAAAAGGCCTTGAGGAACGGGGCCCCGCACCACAAAGTTTACAACGACGTCACAATACTCTTTGACGTAATTTGTGCCTTGTGACGTCAGCAGAGACACAGGGTTGCTGGGGTAATCGCGTGTGCAGAAGCTTCTGTCAGTGATCTATCATCTCTATACGCAATGTCTACACGCAATTAGCCAAGGCATGTTAAGAGTTTTCAATATTGTTAGTGAAACTTGTTCCCGCAGAACATAAGTGTGCGCTTGACGAGTAAACACTGTTATACCAGTGTACTGTTAAACGGGGGATCTCTTCACTATATTACTCATCAGGAATTCTACCTCATTATGATAGATTGTGCATAGTGGTGAAGAGAATGTATGTACATGTACTTTGATGTCACACATTGGACCACTTTGTCTCTAGAGACAACACCGTTTACAGAAACCTGACATTGTCACACAGATACCTGACATTGTCATATACATACCTGACTGTGTCATACACATAGCCGACATTGTCATACATATACCCGACATTGTCATACACATACCTGCCATTGTCACACACATATACGACATAGCCATACACATACGCATCATTGTCATACAGACACCTGACATTGTCATAAACATACTCGTCATTGTCATACAGATATCTGTCATTGCCATACACATATTCGTCAATGTCATACACATACCCGTCATTGTTATACAGATACCTGACATTGTCATACACAACCCGTTATTGTCATACACATATCCGACACCGTCAAACAGATACCTGACATTGTCATATACATACTCGTCATTGTCATACAGATACCAGACATTGTCATATACATACCTGACATTGTCATACGGATACCCGTCATTGTCATACACATCCCTGACACTGTCATACAGATACCCGACATTGTCATACACATACCCGACATTGTCATACAGAATCCCGACATTGTCATATACATTCCTGACATTGTCATACAGATACCCGACATTGTCATACACATACCTGACCTTGTAATACAGAATCCTAAAATTGTCATACACATACCCGACATTGTCATACAGATACTCGACATTGTCATACACATACCCGACATTGTCATACAGATACCCGACATTGTCATATACATTCCTGACATTGTCATACATATACCCGTCATTGTCATACACATACCTTTCATTGTCATACAGATAATTGACATTGTGATACAGATACCCGACATTTTCATACATATACCCGACATTGTCACATAGATAATTGACACTGCCATACACATACCCGACATTGTCATACAGAATCCCGACATTGCCATACATAAACCTGACATTGTCATACACATACCCAATATTGTCATACACATACCTGACATTGTCATACACAAAGCCGACATTGTCATACATATACCTGACATTGTCATACATATACCTGACATTTTCATACACATATCTGTCATTGTCATATAGAATCCCGGCATTGTCATACAGATATACAGATACAGATATACATTCCCATACACAGACCCGACATTGTCATACACAACCTGACATTGTCATACAGAATCAGGACAATTTCATACACATACCTGACATTGTCATACAGATACCCGACATTGTCATACACATACCCAACATTGTCATACACATACCTGACATTGTCATACAGAATCCGGACAATTTCATACATATACCTGACATTGTCATACATATACCTGACATTGTCATACACATACCTGCCATTCCCATAAACATACCCGACATTGTCATACACATACCCAACATTGTCATACACATACCCAACATTGTCATACAGATACCTGACATTATCATACACATACCTGCCATTCCCATACACATACCCGACATTGTCATACAGATACCCGACATTGTCATACACATACCCGACATTTTCATAAAGAATCCCGACATTGTCATATACATACCCGACATTTTCATAAAGAATCCTGACATTGTCAAACACATACCCGACATTGCCATACCTATACCTGACATTGTCATACAGAATCCGGACAGTTTTATACACATACCTGACATTGTCATACAGAATCAGGACAATTTCATACATATACCTGACATTGTCATACAGATATCTGACATTGTCATACACATACCTGCCATTCCCATACACATACCCGACATTGTCATATCCATACAAGACATTGTCATACACATATCTGACATTGTCATACACATACCTGACATTGTCATACAGATACCCGACATTGTCATACACATACCCAACATTGTCATACACATACCTGACATTGTCATACAGAATCCGGACAATTTCATACATATACCTGACATTGTCATACAGATACCTGACATTGTCATACACATACCTGCCATTCCCATACACATACCCGACATTGTCATATCCATACAAGACATTGTCATACACATACCTGACATTGTAATACACATACCTGACATTGTCATACAGATACCTGACATTATCATACACATACCTGCCATTCCCATACACATACCCGACATTGTCATACAGATACCCGACATTGTCATACACATACCCGACATTTTCATAAAGAATCCCGACATTGTCATATACATACCCGACATTTACATAAAGAATCCTGACATTGTCATACACATATCCGACATTGCCATACCTATACCTGACATTGTCATACAGAATCCGGACAGTTTTATACACATACCTGACATTGTCATACAGAATCCCGACATTGTCATACACATACCCGACATTTTCATAAAGAATCCTGACATTGTCATACACATACCTGACATTGCCATACACATACCTGACATTGTCATACATAGTCCGGACAATTTCCTACACATACCTGACATTGTCATACAGAATCAGGACAATTTCATACACATACCCGACATTGTCATACAGATACCCGACATTGTCATACACATACCTGACATTGTAATATAGATACCCGACATTGTCATACACATACCCGACATTGTCATACAGAATCCCGACATTGTCATACACATACCTGACATTGTCAAACAGATAGCTGACATTGTCATACACATACCAGACATTGTCATACACATACCTGACATTGTCATACGCATACCCAACCCGTGAAGGTCCGGGGTAGAATAGGTCTTCAGGAACCCATGCTTGCCGTAAGAGGCGACTAACGGGATCGAGTGGTCAGGCTTGCTGACTTGGTTGATACATGCCATCGATCCCAAGTGCATGGATCGATGCTCATGATGTCAATCACTGGATAATCTGATCCAGACTTGATTATTTACATAAGTGCGGCGTTAAACAACAAACAAACAAACAAAATATACACATACCCGACATTGTCATACTCATACCTGACATCGTCATACACATACCTTCCATTGTCATACAGATACCTGACATTGTCACACAGATACCTGACGCCTAATATCCGATGCGACGTGACTGATGCTACCATGCCTTTGACACAGGCATTCTGGTCTCCTCTGTCATTTATGCGCGACTGGAATTATTGTATTGCAAAAACCTTTCCCAATAGAAGCTACAAAACAAAATACAGCAAACTTGTTTCAAAAATAATATAATGGATTATTTTACACATACCTATTACGATTTCAGTCATGCAATAATATTGTAATAATGTCATTTATGTTATTTCTCGCTTTCATCTCATAAACAAAGACGATCCCATATGGAACTCTATGTATCAATTGATAATGAAAATTGCAACTTTAAAGTTTTATCACCTTTAATCTTTTTTTCAAGTAAATCGACTTCTGTCATTCACGTTGTGATTTTAACATTAGGCTTTCCTTTGCACTGACCATTCAGGAAACCCATTCTCCTTTAATTGGATACAAATTATATATGTCGTTCCTAATGAGAATAGTTAACTTTCTTAACAAACACAGGGGCACTAAGTTGAACCAATTATTACAGAATGAAAAACTAATATTTGTATTTCGACCCGTATGAATTGGTACCTAGCAAACAAGTAAGAAGGTATGTGAACATCACAACAATGTTTTCACCTACACAGAACAAAAATGTTAACATTAATTTAGACACACCGAAAGTAGTCTTCAATACGTATATGAAGGTGGCTACATGTACATACTAATTAGTGCAAACGCAGAACCATTGTTGACATTAGTGTTTAAACATGTACTGGGTTCACTGAAGACTAAAGATTACTTTGAGCCTTCAGGCAGAACTTCGAGATTGAAAGTATTAAACACTGGGTTTCCTGGTAACCCACCAGTGCTCTCTGTGCACTACAGCAACATGGGAATACAAAATAGCATTAATTTATCTGCGGTTTCTGTAATGGTCAGTATGTACCTAGATATAGCTTCACAAGGCCTTCATTAAGCATCTTACTCATTTCTGAACACCTGATCGTATCCAGGCCATCGAACCGATTCGTGTGGGATGACAACATATTTCGAGGTATCACCCTGTGTAAAGCATTAACGGGTTAATGTGCTGTCTGATAGATTATTGGTTCACTTATTGTTCCAAAATAATCATTATTGTACCGGGATTACCAAGTTAAAACCTATTGAGATAGTATGTAGGACATATAAGTAAACATTGGCGGGATAAAAACGTCAAAAGGACGTTCGTTAAAAGATTAACGTCAGATGACGTGATCATAAAGAAATTTCCACATAGGCAAATCACGAAGGGAAACTATGATTCATATAAAAATGAAAGAGAGTATGTGTTTTTGTCGACATCCAGTTGCTAAGAAATGTTGGCAGCAATGTAACAATGTCCATCGATGTTTGACATTTATGTGGAGAACGTGCTGGGTTCGTCTCGACATATTTGATTGGCCAGAACACCTTACCACAACACATTAGGGAAATTACGGCGTAATCGATGATATAATCCACCATGTATTCTAAATAGGCACAGTGCACATACGTCACATAACGGAGGGGACTGAGCTCTTAAATCGCTACCCTTTTGCATTAAGGCAATTAAAAAATCTATTTTCAAATCGAAACAAACACAACTCATTCGCACGAAAAATGCTATGGGGTGATTTTGAAATTTTCCAAGATGTCACGTGGTCAGCGTTCGAGAATCTGGGCTACGTGAGACTTGGTTATACTCCAGCTCTATTTTGCGCGATCTCAGCGTTACATTCATGCCTGCCTTTATCATAGAGACTTGCTAGCCATTGAGAATGTCGTTATTTGTTCACGCTTTTTCTTGAATAGAAATATTTGACCCAGGCGGCTGTAGAGATCTGTGTGAGCAGCTGAATAAGGGAGTATAATCACCCACGCATTAAGTGCTGACGGTTGATAGGGTACTTCGCGAACACCTGGTGTCATCATTATACAGCTTTATTTGTGAAGGTGTTGGTATTTTCAGTGCATGTGACTCGATTGGATGATACATACAGAACTAAAACGAGTATGATGAGGGATCTCTTATAATTCGGGAAATGGGAACCTGATACATAAGATGACACAAAGTGTAAAGTTACAAATATATCAAATATTAAGCTTTCACGTTTTGTTTAAATTTGTGGATGCAGTCAGAGCAGTGAAAATGGTGTGAACATTGCTGACAAGGTGCATGCACGTAGGACTATTGTCAGCACTGTGCTCGCGATCGTGAGTTTCACCAATGTGGCAAATGTCTGAGACTTGCATCACTTTGGGTTTTCCTCCCACATTACACGCCTTGATATAACTGAAATACCGTTGAAAGCGGCGTTGAACCCAATTGAAACCCTCACTCGTACCTCTATTCGAGGTTTTACGGTTACCACAATAACAGAACTCGTATGATGATACCAAGAGTACTTATCCATGAGAAGAAAGGTTTGAAACACAAATTTGGGGTCATTTCTACAAGTTATGTAGATGATAATGTTCTGTCAGAAGAAATGTTGCATATTCAATAAGAGAGTGCGTGTCTTTGAAGTAGGACTTACGTCAGTCTCTTTGCGCATTTATGCTCAGAGAATAAAACTATTATATTGCCCTTGCTAGGCTATCGTAAATATTTGCATTAACTTATTGCTACGAAAGAGCTGCTATCACAAGACAGAATAATCCTTCTTTGTCTGAAACCTGTGTTGTCGTGTTAAAAATATGCTGTGTTTCCAGTGGGTAACAAACTTTACCATTCTTGGTGATAGAAGTTGTGTGCTGAAATAAACCAGGGACCCGGGAATAGATATCATGCATGTATTAATCAGATCGGATGGTCACGCCTGGTTACCCCGAAAGTGTCATCGGACGCCGACGGCGCGGGACGTTGCTCATAATATCAACCACCGGGTTGCATTACTATAAGTCTATCAGGGCGTGCGATTTACAAAAGGTTTGGGACAATGAGACCGAGGTCGTGGTTGACCATAGAAAAACATATCTATGTCCATGAAATGATGTAAATCTGCCAGCTACATTGGAAAGTATGTCTCGTGTCTTAAGCCTTTGTTGAGATAAAGTTGTTTCAAACCAGGCGTGTGCACGGTGTGAGCTTACATGGGGAATGACAAATATATCAGTGTACGTTGACAGCAAATGAATGGTCGATGTTTGTTGTAGTCGTTGTTTTCGAGTTCTTTATAAGGTTAGGGACAGAACGTGCATCTGTTGCAAAACATTGCAGTTGTAATATAACGGAGCCTCATTCCTGCTAGGAGTCATATCGGTGTGACTGAAAGGTCATTTTATTGGATATGTGCGTACAGCTATAAGCCATTAAGTATCGCGACCAAATGTTATCGAATTTCTTTGAAATATCGGAGACTGTGTGGGAAGCGTCTGTAATGTGATAATAACGGAATTCTGTACGCTCCAAAGAAAACGGCGTTAACAAAGGACACGACTGTACAGATTTAGGGGATGACGTCATTACACGACAAACGTCTGATTTCTTTTTCATCATTGGTGTTTGAACTTTAACTCCAGCTCCAAACTTTCCAGGCAGTAACAGAAACTATCAGAGAGATGTTGTAAATTGTCATATACGCGACATATCGAGTTGACAAGTATTGAATTAAGCACAGCAGACTCGTGTTCTAAAGCTCCGTTATATTGACTACATCCAAAGATATTGATTTCAACGAGACACGATAAGATAGACTCTGAAGAAGCTTCGATCGGAACCTTTCATGACCAAACTTTGCCAGGTATATGCGAGTGGAAGTATTCAAGAAGAAACAAGGTTAGCACCATACATCTTAAGACACTTATAAGTCTGGTAACCCCACAATCAAGCCTATAGCAATTACTGCTATCACCGTGTCATAACCACCTAAGATCAATTGGACACCAGAAAGATCGCCATTTCTAAGTATCCCCATTTCCCACGTCGCATCCGGAGCGTCCGTTAATGCTTGCTCTTTCAGACCCCCGTACAATCAATACCCGGACTTCACCTCACCGCCTTCCTGTGGGGCGCTGCCGGGTGGTGCTTATCGATAGACGCCTATCGATTGATTACCAATGTGTCTCTCCGACCAACAGGTCCATATTGTTGTCAAGACGCTGAGAGATCGTCCGCCCCTCACCGCTGTTCTTCCTCCAGTGGTGGATCAGCGCGCGCGAATCAGAAGCCGTTAGTGCCACTGAGGGTCCCGCCCACCGCCCCCTGCTTCGGGGGTAATTAACACACCACCTCCTCCCCAACAGGTAGCATACTATACCCGCAGGTTTATCTCTGCTCTGTCTTTCACAGAGGGAGCCAGAGCGGACACGGAGATACCGCTGAGACGACACGACGACGACGACGACGACGAGAACGCTCCTTTACTGACACTTAAGGTAGGTCACTATGCAACCACTCTATGAAGGTCCTGCTTCAACTGTGAAGCTTCAACACTTTGATGGCAGCTTGTCGATGCCTACTAGAAGTTGTTAATGAATTGATTAATTTAGGACTTTAAAGTTGCAGAACTATTTCCAAATGTTCTGTTCAAAGCATTCCTTCCAACAACAAGTTAAAAAATATTGTTTTAGAAAGGATCTTCCTAAAATATATTATTCATTATACAAATAGAAAAAAAAACGAGCAGTAGTAAGACTTCATTGATACGTCGATTGTAGGTCAGATTTACAACTGAATAACGATTATATACGTATTTTACTATACTGTATGTTACATGAACTATTTGCACCTTCTGTCCACCTAACAAACTTTATATTGCTATTGTACTATAAATGTATGTATTGAATCTCTTCATACAAGTTAGCTAATGGAATTACAAATCCCAGGACGTGTATAAGTTTTCGTGAAAAAAGTGTAGTGAACAAAGTTCTATTTTCTCCTGGGGCCTTAAATCCGTCGGATTAATTTTGTCCTTATTAATCTGTGCGTATTTTCAGTTCGTATTACAATGGAGCTTGCTGTGACTTTAGAACACAATAATTAAATCCATAAGAGTGTTGTTTGGTTAATGAAAAACTGTGGGTTGTTAGTATACAGTCTAACCTTTGTTATAACCACCCATTGCTTTGACAATTGAATTACTTGTATTAAACTGATTTAAACGGGAGAGCAGGCATGCATTTGTGTATGTGTAAGGACTTAAATCAGCGAAAATGTCTATTCATTGAGAAACGTTAAGATAATTCAATTTCATTTATGGAAAATAACAAAAACAGTGATTGATTGAATTAATACAACATTCATCGCTGACCCAAATCAACGTCTCAGTGAGAAATGTCACACTTCAAACAAGTGAAGACATGATACGGAATATCTACTCCGATGATTATCATGAATGCGTTTGACTTGATCGTCATTTGGAGAAACAATTATTAAAGGAAAGGAACACGATGAAAATTTTCAAAATAAAATCTAAGCGACTACTTTAAAACACAGATGGCGTTGCACTGTCTAGATCATATGAAGGGAAAGCATATGCCGTTCCTGACGCGGGGGAGAGTAAGCTGACGAGACATAGAATGAAGGGATTTAGACACTGAGTGGTCTTACTTAAACATTAAGGGTCAGATAGGGAGCGTCAATCACAGTGTTCAGATGTTCTGTTAACAATTCAATCACTGCGATCGCACTGCCAGCTACGGTTAGGGACCACGTTAAACTGCCTGCCTATTCGGAGAGATAAATGTCTTCCTTCTTTGTGGTTATGTTGGATTTTAAGGATGGGATTTTAAACGATATTGGCCTCTTCATTGAGTGAATCTTTGAACCTTTGCATCAATGCGATTGGGATGGACGCATGTGAGTAGATCGTGAATGTGGAGGTGTTTTTTTTTATATACAGGACAAAGTTATGTCCAGGAATATATGTCCAGGGGTAATATATAGGGGTATATCGTTTAGGGTTCTCGTTTTACACATTAGGTTGATGGGCGTTAGATGAATGTGAGCGGTTTTAGTTTGGTTTGAAAACTATGCAAGAACCTATTATTTAACTGGTTGCAGCTTGTTTTAAGTGTATTTAGCAATATTCAAGTTGGCTTACGTTGGCGGACACCAGAATTGGCGTCATTGTACACATTTGACAAATCGGGCCGGGTCTTCTGCAAGGCGAGCTATCCCATTGACCGCTAGGCTACCCTACCGCCCCTCACGTCTTATATTTCTCTGTGGCGAGGTAGGTTCAATACCATTTTTTAAAGGAATGAGATGACTTCCCTGTATGCAAGTGATATCAGCGGTATGGACAACATGTGTCGTCGAAGAGCGCATGATCCATGCCTTAGGCAGATGATAGATGTGTGGAGATACAGCTGAATTACAACCATTAGATCGTACTTTCGTGTTGCTGAATATCGGCCTATGTTGCAGCGTAAGTCTCATTTGGCTCGGGATTTGAGAATTAGATTGAGTAAGATATACGTTATCTATACGCGGCAATTAGAAGCAGGTTGTTGGACAGCAGGTAGACAGATTGTTGGTGACTGCAACGCCTCCATGAAGATGCGTAGAATAGAATTATGTGGCATTTAGAAGCTGTTATATCAGTGAAGACCATGAAGCCATCTGTGGTGTTGGGATGAAATGGGATTTATCGTTGGAATTATTCCCCTTATGCAGCGACATGCATGCACACGCCCGACCTAATGCCGTTTATATAGTGCTAGTCCACCAGATATCTGCCATGCCGCAATGTAACAATATCCCACGAAGACACTGTATATTGACTCCGAGCAGAGCAGTCCTTGTTCTGTTTCCGTAATGCCGAGCGCCAGGGAGGGCAACAACAAGAACCATATTTGAACGACGCGGCCGGGGATCGAACCACCGACCTTCCTCTTTCTGGGCAGATGCCTTATCCACTACACCACGGAGGCGGTCTGAAGACATTTGAAAACCGGTGTTGGGAACAGTGACCTTGGGGGTCAAGCTATTGAGAAATGATACCATATTGATTTAAAAAGAAACTTGATGTTCGCCAGTTGTTCGAGAAACTAGTGACCATGTTCATCCCTACCGATAAGCAATTGATTCTTCTGTAATCAGTCCACAGTACACAGTTATCAACGACTACGGGTATTTTATAAAGCCATAATTTCATCCGTTATAACAGTATATATCAATGGGTTTGCAAAACGCCATTGAAAAAAACAGTCACTATATTGTTACCCAGAAGAAGCCAAAGAATACACTTTGCAGCTGTGCGTACCTTGTTAATAAGAAACTCCCTAACTCATTCACTCAAACACTGCAGTCTGTCTGAATACACACTAAGGTTGTACTTGCACGCAATATGACAATAAAAGCCAAGTAAGGTCCCACCTGATGTCTGTCATGTCAAACACGATTATAATCAGCAGCACTTTACAATGTAAAAGATTAATTTTCTGGGCGTTTTTAAAATATCTAAAATGTTGATACTGAAGAAGGTTTTCCATTAAGATGTTGATTGAAAATTCATCAGCGGTCTTGTCGTATGTGCTTAGTCGGCAAGTCTTGTGCTCTATTGTTGTCAAAGACTACATAGTTTGTATTCTCTGCGCCCAAGGGAGATGCACTACCCCCACACCTGCCCTCCAATTAAAGTATTGTTGACTCATTATTTCACGGGAAATTGCCGAAGGATTGAACAATACTCTCCAAGTAATGAGTTTTCCAACAGAGACTTTGAATCAGAAAATCAAGTAATTAGGCGATACATTGCAGTCATGTAATTGATTGAAAACATAATAAAGATTAGCTGTTTCCATGTCAGTGGGGACACTTGTACAATGTGCCACCTTTTCCGTGATTCTACCTGACAAATGTTGCATTCCCATACATCGATCAATACTAGAAGGCACCTTCAGGATGCTGCCACAATATTTAAGTGTTCCATCGCTCCATCCTGAAGACCCCATTTTCACTACTCCCCCTCCGTCATAAGACGCCCGTCACATTTCCGACCCTAAACCACACATGGCCCCCAGATTAGGCGCCAAAGACCATGAATAATTTATGATCAATCGGCACGTAAAATAATGGCTACAGATCGGATGAAATCAGTTCTTCTTTGATTTAGTCGAAAGGAGTTATGTTAAAGGTCACCATTTATTCGGGAAGGAACACATTCAAATGATCTCGACCACTGTGTAAAGAACATTGAAAACGATCATTACCACACGTCGGCACGACAGGGGAAATTCTCAAATTTTTAAATGATATAAATTTAATTCCAATCATCTACGGTTTTGTGATTCATTTTCCGTGGCATCCATCACGGGCTTCCTGCGGCTCAAATGTCGTGTACAAGCGCCAGAAGGTTCCGAATACTAAAAAACACATGCAACGCGGTTTAGTTTAAACTTTCATACATTTTCATTACTCAGACACAAGTGAGGCATGCAATGCCCTGACGCAGATGCACCTTCGAAATACAGTTAGTTCCAATGGCCATAAATACGTCCATCAAGTTTTGGTTTCGCTTTTCACACAGATATTTTGTTGATCAAGTTCAATTTTAGTCGTTAAGGTTCTCCCATGTTCTTTCATGACTCGAGACGGGGATTTACAGCAATATAACGAGAACCACTTGACATTATCTGTAGGCTTCTCTCTCCTTCAGCGCTCCATGGTTATGTGTGTGTCAGTGCAGAGTCCGATATAACGCCCTCTTTAACAGTATTTAACCACATTACCGTGTGTCAGCTTAATGGAACGACAGCGACAATTGACGCAGATCACTCTGATGAAAACTACGAATCCCGGTGGGATGTTGACAAACCAACGATCATACTTGGGTAAAATATTGGAATCGAACCCACAACTATCGGATCCTTGTATCCGGGTTACGGTTTTACTGAAGTGGTAGTGGTAGAGCATCCGCTAGGAGAGCGGAAAGTCCGGTGTTCGATCCCCGGCCGACATACCAAAAGACGTTAAAAGATGGTACTTGTTGTTACCCTGTCTGGCGCTCGACATTAAGGGGCTAAAACAAGGACTGGTTGGCTCGAAGTCAGTGTACTGTGTCTGAGTGGGATATTCATGTTAAACTGCGGCATGGTATCTCAGTGTGCTAGCACTATAAATCGTCATCAGTCCGGACTAGTACAAGCAGCCACACACACACGTGCATGCACGTCGCTAAATATGTGCAATAATCATGGACGCGACGTTAAACTTCATTTCACCTCACCTCACCTCCATGGTTTGATCTAGCCGTGTCATATCAAAGTAAGTTAAAATGGTACTTGTTGTTTCCTTGCCTGGCGTTCGGTATTAAGGGGATAAAAGAATGACTGGTCGGCTCGTAGTCTGCATACTGTGCCTGAATGGAATATCCATGTTAAACTTTAAGCACTGAAATTGGCATTAGACTGTACTAGTGCCAGCAGACAAC